CTTTCATTTAAAGTTCAATTTTCATTTAACTTTACTATTGAATTTTTTAATTTATTAAAAGCATTCGTATCACTTGCATGAAATTGGACAGTTTTTGTTGAGATATCTAAGAATTTGACCAACTTTGTTAGATCAAATTAGGTAAACTAGAATATCTAAACATTGCATAATAATATTGCAAAATTTTTGGTGATTTAGCAAGATGTCCTTAGTTATAAGTATTTCATGGTCAAAATTATTTTCAGATTTACATGTGATTAATTTTTTTAGATAAAATTCCGCTTGTGATGATTAAATCTAGAATGTTAAATTTATTTGAGTATTTCTTCGCTTTACTCCATTTGAATAATGAATATGGGTCCAATGCGGTATGAAAATATATTTGTTATATTTAACAACATTGTGTATTATTTTTCCTCCTTTTCTCAAGTTATTTCATTAATTTTCTTCGAATAATGATCATGTTGCTTTTAAAATAAAATAATATAATTGATTAATAAAATATTTTAATTTTAAATATTTATATATAAACTCAAATTGGAAAATGTGATTTAATATCAGTGTTGACAAAACAAAAAGAATTTTCCATCTAATCTATTAAAATAATAGTAATAATTATTATTTTAATATAGACTATAATAGCAAAAATTATTATTATTAAAGTACACTAAATTGAAGAAAAAAGAAAAGATCTATACTAATTCTAATTTGAGAAAATATCTTATTTAAATCATTATTTAGTCCGAATTGTATAAAATGTATATAAAATGTATATAAAATATATTCACTAATGCAAACATTATTAATAACAACTATATAAAATATATATTTTATGTATATTATATATAAAGAATATATTAAGATATATAATAATAAATTAAAAGAAAGTTTATATTATTTTGAGATTTTTTTATTTAAATAAAAAATTAATTAAATGATCATAAATTATATTAATTAAATTATTATTTAATCTTATCTCATTATTATCTTATTAAAAATGTATAATAGCAAACATTTTTTTATGAAAACAAAATATAGCGAATGAAAAGAATCTATACTCTCCCAATTTGAGAAAATATCTCGTTTAAATCTATTTATTAATATAATAAATTATTATTTATACTTAATAATTGTATTAAAATATGCAAAATTGTTTATTTTTATAAACATTAATATGCAAATTTTTTGTTATTTTTTAAAAAGATAATTTATTACTATCTATAATAACATAAACGCACATTAAAAAAGGAAATCAACAATCTTTTCGAAACTGTTTAACTCTATTTTTTGCCCTATTTTTTTCTCTCAGGTGTAAACAATTATATGTTGTTCTGATTATAAACTTATGATAAACAAAACAAAAGAATTAAGCTTCCCGCTGATATTAAACAGACACGTGGATCACAACCAACGGGAAATCAACACGCACTTACGCTCCTGCGTTATTATCGCCGGTAATATCGTGGTCTCTTCTTTTGACTATTCTGTCCAATTCTGTCTACCGAGAGCTATCGAGGCCTGATCGTAATGAATTTTACGATGCGTTTGTTCCTTTCCAGTTTCACGATACTCTTACTTCACATCACTTACATTGAAGGTATCTCTTATATTTGTCTCATAGAAATATGATTGCTTATAAATGTATAATTAACGGGTTATGTTATTCCTGTCATACTACGTGTCACGCGTTTTATTCCAGTATATTAGTACCGATTTGCTGATATCATTGATTGCACTAATTGATCATATTTATATTACAATTAACATTACAAATATTTTGATTTGTACATATAAAATATCTTGATTTGTACACATAAAAGTTTTTCTTTTATTTTATACATTAATATATCTCGGTAAGCTCATTCTTTATAACTGTAATCTTTGCACTGTTTGTCTTTTTTTTATGTCTTTTTCTAATTATATCGATCTTATTCAATTAAAAAGTAACATAATACCGACAGTTACAAGAAACATAGCATCTACTATAAGTGAAACATTACCCTATATCTTTATGAAATATATCTATTTTATCATTATGTTATATTTTTGCAGCTAGGGGGACACAACATGTAACATGTGGCTCTGTATTAAAATTAATGAATGTAGATTACAATGTTAGGTTGCATTCCCACGAAGTAAAGTATGGTAGTGGCAGTGGACAGCAGTCAGTAACAGGTACTAATGCCAAAGAAGATGGTAATTCCTACTGGCTCGTTAAAGCAGAATCAGGAAAGCAATGTATACGGGGGTGAGTTATAGTTTATATCTGCATAATTATTTTCTTTATTTCTGTATATGAGCAAATGATTATGATTTTTTTAACAGGAAGCCAATTAAATGTGGAGACATTATCAGATTAGAACATATCGCAACGAAGAAGAATCTTCATTCGCATCTTGTTAGTTCACCATTGACTGGAAAACAGGAGGTCTCCGCTTATGGTGATCATAAAGGAGAAGGTGATACTGGAGACAATTGGATGTTAATATGTCAGAATGATTTCTGGGAGAGGGATGATACAATCATGTTAAAACACATTGATACTGACAAGTAAATATTCTATTCAATGAATTTAAACATGATAATAATGCCATGTCTAAGATGAATATAAATTATGAATATTGTGTGTTTAGATATTTGGCTGTCACTGGCAGAACATATGGTACTCCAATTAGTGGACAAACTGAAGTAGTAGGCGAATATTCTGCAAGCAGTCCTCACACCCAATGGTCAGTGATGGAGGGATTGTTTATTCATCCTAATGATTTCAAAGCACAGCATTATCAACACACGGAATTATAAGGACAATTTTTAGCGGTGACTTTACCTTACCTTTAGTCTTTCTACAAAGCATTTGCATGTTTTGTAGAAAATTGTATTATTATATTACCAAAAATATTCAAATATTATTAAATAATGTTCTTTTCTTCTAGGCCGATTATTTATTGGAACTGTGCTTTTAAAAATTTTCACATAATATTGCATTTTGTTTGAAAAAAATTTACAAAATCAGTTGCTCAAAGTTCGAATAAATCTATTGTACTTGGATTCAATAATAATCTATTACATTTTGCACAATCGTTACATTAAAAATTTGATTTAATATTTTGTGATGAATTCTATGTGAAAATTCATTATGTGTATTTAATGAACAATGAAAATAAATAAATTTGCTTACCAAATTAGTAATTATCAATAACTATTGGATAAGGTTGAATACCTGAAAAAGCATATGATTGACAGCAAACAATTTGAATATAAATTTATTATTCATACATAGAACATACATTAAACTTAATGATATTTTAATAAAAATATGAAGCAGCAATATAAAATTAAATTGCATTGTTTCACTTGATAACCTCAGTTTAATTTTAAAATCTTTAATTCCAGGATTCCAGATTACACAATAGTGATTCTAACATCATACTAGTAAAGTAATTTATATCATCACTAAATATTAAAATGTTAAATGTAACGATGATACACATACTATATTTACCATTGCATTTGCAAATAGGAATATTAATGTTTTATAATAAAATTTAAAAAAACTTTTGGATTTAATCGAATATACATGTAACTATTGATAACGAATGATGAAGTCAATAGAGATATTTTCATTTTTTCGCACATAATTAATCTGTACTAAGTCTTCAGGGTTTAGAAGACTCTTTAGTGATATTTGACCCTATATTGCTTAATGATTAATATGCAAATTTAAAAAAATCTTCTGAGAACTGTATATAAATACGAACTGAATTAAACTAAGTTTTTTTTTTTTTTTATTTCTTAACATTTTCATATGTTTGTTATTCCTCAGTCACTTTAGTAATTCTGTCATTTTGATAAGATTAAATTATATAGATATTAATATATGTTAATATAATATTTTTTACATGGCGATTTTGATGTTTTGATCAAAGCAAAATATTAAATAAATGTGGCAATAAATCATAATTGAACGTTCTTTGTGCCAATTATTTACCAATATTTTTGCAATTTTGTGATTGATTTATAAAAATCATCATGTTGATTTTGTTAGGTTATTGAGGTAGTTTTTTTTTAAATTGTATTGTGTGAAAGTCATCATTTACATATTTAATTTTCTTAAATTATTTGCAGTTTTTTCTCAGTAATTTGCAGGCGAACATAACAATATAATAGAATACAGCAAAAATAAAAAGTAAATTTTTCTTCATTATATTTCGGATATTTTCATTAATTTTGAAAAGGAACGTTCAAATGTATAAAAAAGTGCACCTTTAGTGAAATTGCAAAGTATGTGAATTCTAAAAAAAAGAAAAATTGTAATTTATTACAATTCATTAAAAATTACAAATTCCAATAAAGATATATTTTTTTAACTATCTATTAATTAATTATTAATATTACAGAATATTTGATAATGTAGGATGGATTTGTATCTGTGTTTTATAGTCTGTATGAATATGTTGTATATATACATATTACTGTATTTATTTCTATGTACATAATAAATAAAATAATATATTAAATCAAATTCCTTGCTTACTTAACTAGCTTCATACTTCTTTTAGTTCATATTTGCCACTAATATCTCGCGTGCCTATGAGACCATTATATGGAAAGATAATATTGGATAGACCATAACTTCCAAAGATCTCTCTCAGATTCTGTTTTCCCGTCACATGATTGACGTAACGTTGCTTGCCAGTCAGACAGCTGTGCAACTTCCAAATGCCGAGCACCAAACAGATGCACAGGATTGACATTAGCATATCAAATATTGTGACTAGAAATATACTCGAGCTATCCTTAGAATGCAGGAGTCTCGCCAGGACGATGGGAAAGCAAAAATTCAGGAATATGTTGAAGTAGTCTGCGTCGCTCTTCACTATATGATTAATGTTCTCGTACATATATGGGCCCAGAACACACAAGGAATACAGGCATGTGAGCGACGTGTAGAAACAAAATAATATAAAGTTGCCCATATTCTGACGAAGAACGCAGGCACCTAAGAAGAAACAATGATGATCTTTGAAATGAAAACACTTTCGACAGAAGATGCAATGCTGTGTGGGTTTGCACATGTAACTCTGACATCTCTCGCAATGCCAAAATTTATAGGATGTGTTGTGTGCTGGTGGTTGTACGCTATTGGGTTGCTCGAATTTGCGCTGCTGGGTGACCACACTGCATAAATTGCTTTGTATATCCTTTACTTTCATTGGATTCGCTTTACAACTGATGCTATATATTGAATACCAATTTAGGTACACCTGCATACAAAGAAAGACAAAGACCAGCGAGATTTTCTGATGGATGTAGATTGTAATTGCAATAACAAATACGGTGCATGTTAATGTTGCTAGCGGACATATTTGCTTAGCAATCTTCAAGCAAGTTTTTATATGCTGAGACTGAGACATGCCTCACGATAAATATACACTAGGATTCTTTCTCTTTGCATACACAATATATAAATCTAATTTTCGCACGATATATAAATTCAATTCGTAGGCGTAATTTTTATTCGAGAATCTTTTCATTTTACAGAGTATATTTTCCTCAACAATATACTATTTATATTCCTGGAAAGATAATAAGCTTATCAGAATACACATTTTTTCATACTTCTGATTTATTTTACTTGCGTTTCTTTTTTTAATATAAAAATACGTTTATTTAACAATCAATGAATGCGTATCCTTATTAGTTTTTAATATATGAGAGTTGTTCACTGACCTTAAACATAACCTTAAATCCACTTCTACATATCGATTTCATTTTTATTTAATTTAACAGGTCAATATCATCCTCGAAACAAATTTGATAATTTATAATGATCAATAGACAGTGATTAGGATATAATTTCTTTCAAAATGTGCTTATTCTTCAAAATAACATCTGTTGTTTCACCAGAATATTTCAATGTATGTATCTATATATAACTAGGAATCCCTCCTAAAGAATATATTATTGAGAGACATTACACAATATTCCAAGTGTGTAAAATATTGTAATCAATTATTGCCAGAAAAATATTCACATCCAGGTATTCCTCATAAATTTATATTTTTCAGAAGATATTTTGCATAGAATAAATAAGAAAGTGCAAAATAATTAACAAGGATCTAATTACTAACACAGAAATATGTAAC